TGTGTTTTTCCAGTTAAATGACGTAGATTAAAACAGGTTTCTTTTTTTACAATATGAATTTTTAGAATTGTTTATAGGTTTTTATATCATAAACTTATGCATCTTTCGCAGGAGTAAGCGGCAATTATAAATTAGTTAATTATATAAGTTCTGTCTTAATCTGTGTCTATTTTAATTATGAAACTTTGACTTTGAATATTAATTTTATTGATATTACAATGCTAATAATTCGCGGATGCCAAAATGGCAAAATCCTAACTCTCAAAAACAGGTACACTGGAAAGGAATCCTCACATCACATTGGCACATGTAAATCCGGAGGCGTTTCCACCATTAGAACCAGAACCAGAAAGACACTGCTCTATGTGGTTCATAGGCTTGCTTTTTGCCAAAAGCGAAAATTTAAACGTTGATCTAACGTATGATATAAAATCTTTTGTAGATTCAAGTAAGTATATTATATTATTTTCAAAAAATAAATAATATTTCACGATTGAATAATAATCTAATAGTCCAAATTAAATAATTTAAGTTTTCTATTATCATAGTTTAATTACAATTGTTTTCATATAAAATTTTAGTTCTGAGACAGGCGGAACAATTAAGCATGTTGAAAGAAGGGATGTGGATTGAAGTAAAACACGTGAAAAAGAGGGATCTGCACACTTATGTATCTCCTAGTTTGCTTAAACGAGAAAGAAAGGTATGCATTAATTTTATTTTTCTTTTTTAATTTGATTTTCAATCTTTATATATAATATAATAATATGATAATATGATAAATGATAAATATAGAACAATTATTAATTAAAAAAAAAAAAAATTCTTCCTAGGTTTCCGGTACTGTACATAAAAACGGAAATATTGCTGGAAACGGTAATAGTGGTAGCGTTTCGCCACGAAATCCAGGGAATACAACGAACAGAAAGAGATTATCCGATCAAAGTCAAGATGCAAGTATGAAAAAGCGAAAAGTCAACGATGGCGAACAGCCATCAGTGACACACGTAGGTATTGTAAATATAATTATAATACAATTGATTAAATATTAAAATAAATATAACTAATGAACAATTATGTGTCTTAGCATGGAGAAGATGGATCACTAGTTGTCCAGTCTTGCGGAGAAGATAGCAATTCCGGATTCAGCTTGGATGAATATAAACAAACATTATCAGCTGCTAAGGATGTAAGACATTGTACATATAATGAACAGTAATCATCATATAACAGGATTAGGTAACTACATATAAAAATAGAGCATAGTAAGACAATTTTGGATTGATCAGAGAAGAAATTATTTTTTAACATAAATCGGAATCGTATGGAGGTAAGGAGCGGAGGATATAACAATATTGTTTATTTGCAACGTTCCGCTTCTTTCTCTTACTTTGGTTTCTTTAATTTCTTTTTTTTTTCCTCTCTTTTTTTTCAAGAAATATATTGTAATTCTTTTATTATTTGAAATGTTTCAGGAAGGGCCTACTGGTGCATCAACAGTAGCACAGGAAGGATATGTTTGCACTTGACCGCTACAGGAGTACTACCTCACATCTATCCACAGATGCTCCTCTGGGCCATCTAGACTGTAATCACTTCTCATGCAACCATCCACTGCCCACTGTAAGTCCCCCGTTTCGTAAAAACAAAGCAACGTCATGCGTTGGAGAGAACTACCCGTTGGAGTCAATCGATGCACGACTGTGTGTGACGGACACTCTAATTTTAGTATTTATCAACATCTACAGTCAATGGGAACAACTATGTTATTGAATAATTGTGCCAGTGTCTGTGATGTTATTTTTTTATCGTAAATCGCGTTAGTAATTTTGAAAAGTTACGATCGAAAAACTATAGATAGCAAAGCTTCAAAACCATCACTATGTGAATCTAAGATTCATAATTTTATTTTTATATTTCATTTTGTACATATCACTTATGATCATTTTTATCCACGAAATTATTAAAAAAGAAAAAAAAAGAGAAATAAGAAAAAAAAGATGATAAGAACATGGTGTCGGGTGTAAAATACAGTTCGATGTTGTCGCGTTAAAATGTGAATAGACAACGATATTTTGATTAAATGCTTGTATTAGGATTTTCAGTCAAATGAAAAAAAAAAAAAAAAAAAAAGGAAGGAAAAAAAAAAAAAAA